TTTCTCTTTGTTTGACTAGTTTATACATATATTTTTCACCCTCCTTAGTATCTAATATATTATAAAGATCATTAAAAACAGAATTTTTAGCGTCACTGATTATTCTTTTAGACTCACTGCGGGCTGTTTGATATTTTTTCCCAGTTCTCTAAGCTTTTACATTTTAACCAATTTTTATAACATAACTTCTTATATTTTATCTTTTCTTGCACATTATTATTCCATCACAAACTATTTTTATTTATAAAATTTTTTTTTTGATTCTCCAAGCACATCTTTGGCTACTTATTTAATAGTATTTGTTACTTTATCCCACATAACATTTGTTTCTTCATGAATATCTAAATTTTGAAATCTTAAATTCTACTCATAAAAATAATTTTATTTATGTCTTTTAAGTTTCTCCATCTAATTCTACGATGATGAGTCATAGTATTTTTTATTTTACAACTCTTAATCTTAAAATCTAAAACTAATAAACGATGTTGGGTATTTAAATTTTCACTTGGAATGACCTTAGAATCTTTACAATCACGACAATATTTTCTTCTCATAAGAAAATAATCAATTTGTGTTTTATTAGATTCACTCTTATAAGTAATAAGATGTTCATATCTTTTCGTAAATAAAGTATTAGTAATTACAAAATCATACGCTAAAACAAAATTTAAAATAGTTCTACGTTCTTCATTAGTTACTCCAAAACCGTAGCCACCATGAATATTTCTGAAATCTTCTACCACTCTACCGTTTCCAATAAAAATTGTTTCTTCAAGCGATATCATTTGTATTAAGTCTTCTAAGTCATTTCAAAACTTATTTTTAGACTTTGTATCTAAACCAACTTGAGGAGCATAAGCACTTATAATATTAAAATTTTAATATCAATGATAATTTTAAGGGCTATAATTTTATCTGCAACTCTATTAATTTTAACAACGTTATCTTTCAAACTTTTATCTATAATTACACCTACACTATTTTTAGTATGACTCTTACCAGAATACTAAAGTTTAAAACCTAAATTATTAATCTCTTTAGCTTTTTCTCCAACCCACTTAGTTTATTGAAAACATAAGATATTAATTTTTTTATGAATCATAATATGACATGGAGCACTAATGTAGCAGATGTAGGATGGTGATCTGCAACACCAAAACAAGTCAACATCA